CCGTACCGCCGTAGCCGTCGCGTCGACGTTGTCGTCGCCGTCGCCGTCGTCGCCGCCATCGCCGTAGCGTCCTCGTTGTCGCCACCGTTGATGCCGCCGCCGCCGCCGCTGTCTCTTCATCGTCACCGCCACCGTCGTCGTCGTCGTCGTCGTCGTCGTCGTCGTCGTCGTCGTCGTCGTCGTTTTCGTCGTCGTGGTGGCCGTGGTCGCGGTCGTGGCCGTCGTGGTCGTCGTCTGTGTCCGTCGTCCGTCTTCCGTCGTTCGTCGCCGTCGTGCCAGAGGGTGAAGGGGGAACATGATGGCGAGGATGAGGAGGAGTAGGAGGAGAAGGAGGAGAAGGAGGCGGACGATGAGGCGTGCGAGCGGGAGGAAGAGAATGGTGATTGGCAGGACGAGGGGGAGGAGGATGCGGAGGCGGATGAGGAGTCGCAGAAGGGAGGGGAGGGGGAGAAAGAGAAGAATTAGGAGGAGCTTTAGGGGGGCGCTTAGGAGGAGGAGGAGGAGGAGGAGGAGGAGGAGGAGGAGAAGCAGGGGGATGTGGAGGAGGAGGAGGAGGAGGAGGAGGAGGAGGAGGAGGAGGAGGAGGAGGAGGAGGAAGGGGAGGAAGAGGATGAGGAGGAGGACTAGGAGGAGGAGGAGGACGGGGAGGAGGAGGAGGAGGAGGAGGAGGAGGACGAGGAGGTAGGGGAGAAAGAGGAGGAGGAGGAGGATCAGTGTAAACCCAAAGCGCATCAGTGATGTTGTATTCAACCTTCCCTGAAGGTTCCCCCTGCATAGATTCCTACAAGAACTCCTATTCACTGCGGGAAGTGACCCTTCAGAAGACAACCGTCAGACAATCTTCAATCGTGCTGCGAGTTAACGCGACTGTTGCGTCCTGTCAATCCAAAACGGCGCCAGATGGCCATTCCTGTGACTTCAACCGTGGAAATCCTGGAACATGTAGCAAACGTTTCAGACGAACGGGCGCGGCGCTAAGGCGAGAGCCACATTTTGAAAACCAGCCGCCCTCCATCCATGAAGCTGGTATGCGCGCGGCGTTAGAGCGAGAGCCACATGTTTGAGAACCAACCACCCTCCATCCGTGAAACGGCTGCGAAGGTTTAAGACGAATGTGCGCGGCGCCAAGGCGAAAGCCACATTTTGAAAACCAACCGCCCTGTATCTGTGAAACCGTTGCCATTTATTCATACGAATGTGCGCGGCGCCAAGGCGAGAGCTACATTTTGAAACCGGCCTGCCATCCATCCGTACAACTGTTGCCAAGTCCAAGCTGCAGGATCATACATGGTGAGGAAGTCTCTGGTGAAACGTCCGGCCCGCCCTACTAAACGTCCAGGGGAGCGACAGGTGTGAGTTATTAATAAGAGCAAGGGATGGAGGAGAAGAAGGAGAAGAGCGAGCAGGGTCGAGGAGGAGAAACAGGAGGACGAGGAGTACCGGGAGGACAGGAGGGGGAGGAGGAGCCAGTGTGAGGATGGAGGAGGGAGGGATGAGGAGAGGGAGGGAGGGGGGAGGGGGAGAGAGGGAGAGGGAGGGGGAAGAAGACGGTGATCCGCGGCAGGCGCCTCGGTTCATGGAGCCCATCATGGGAGGGCAGCGGCCTCAAGAGGCCCTGACCCGTCGATCGCGGACGCATCAGGCCACTGATCTGCCGATCCGTCGATCGATCTCGAGACCCCTGCCCTCTCTTGCGTCGCGGGCAGAATCATCACAGTTCTTTGGCGTTCCCCCTTCCCCCCCCGTCCCGTCCCTCCCCCCCCCTTTCCTCTCCCCCTTCCCCTCCCCCCCAACCTCCCTCCCCTCCCCCCTTTCTTCTCGGCTCCAGGACACCCCGACGGGGCTCCAGACAGCTCAAGCTGGTCCAGGGCAAGAAGTCGGGGGGCCCGGGGGTGTCCACATCGTGCACGCATCACGACGGTGGGGGTCTGGGACGGCGGCTGTGCACACCATCGATCGGGCATCAGGCTGGACCCTGATCGGCGGGGGCCGAGGGATCGACGGGCTGCATCGGGATCGGAGGGGTGCCTGACTGGCGGAGCGTTGCCCTGCCGTTCGTGGGATAGCCCGGCCCAGCGGGCTTGATGCACCATTTTGCGGAAGGCTCACTGCGGGCAACAAGCGATTGCAACACAAAGTCCCTTCAGAAAGCCGGCCGGGCCAGGGTCGGGATCCCGAGGTATCCCGGAGGTCCCTGGAGGCCTCGAGGCTAACAAAGGACCAGAGACGACTCAAGCCCTCGATTCTCGAGGGTTGGGTGCAAGTCTTAGGAGCCAGGCTAGATCAGGATCGGTACAGGGTCGCTGACTGGCCCCCCGGGGGGGGCGACGGCGAGAGCCACGACGGGAGGAGGAGGAGGAGGAGGAGGAGGAGGAGGAGGAGGAGGATCAGGTGGTCCTGGCCCAGGGCCCCCCCCAGGTCTTCGCGCCACTGTGGGGCGCCTGCGACCCTCGGGGCTTCGGGAGGGCTGCTCGGGAGGGCTGCTCTGGAGGGCTGCTCTCGAGGCCATCCGGGCCTCCTTGGACACGCTGGCGTTGAGTCGGGCGTGTCCCTCTACAGGGGGAATGTTCGAAAATAGTACAGAAATAGTGTGGGGACGATCCTTCTATTATTTTGAATTCATTTTGCGGAACCGTTTGGGGTATTTCCCTACCTAGGCTCTGCCTAGAAGGGTTCTTACTCTCTTGGCTTAAAGGGCCGGGCAGTGGGAACCGGCCCGGGCGGTTCCCCCAGTATCCGCCCCGCGGTTCCCCCAGTTACGTCCCCTTAGCTTAGCGTTGCTTATCTCATCTTAGCTTAGCTTAGCTTAGCTTAGCTTCATCTTAGCTCAGGTGTATCTTAGCTTAGCTTACCTTCATCTGAGTTTCGCTGAGCTTTAGCAGAGCACAGCACAGCATAGCATAGCGTAGCATAACATAGCGCAGCATAGCATATTAGCATGGGTGTATTTCCCTGCCCAGGCTCTGCCTAGAGGGTTCGCTTAGCTTATCTTAGCATAGCGCAGCGCTGCATTAGCATATCAGAACATAGCATAGCATAGCCAATCATAACATTGCATATCATAGCATAGCGCGGCATAACGTAGCACATCATATCATATCATATCATATCATATCATATCATACCATATCATAGCATATAATAGCTTATCAAATCCTATCATAGCACATCATAGCTTAACATAGCACAGCGCAGCATTCCATGCCATATCGTGACATATCATAGCATAGCATCGCATAGCATAGCGCAGCATAGCACGGCATATCATAGCATAGTATAGCATAGCAACTACTGCTGCTGTCCTAGGGGCTCCAACTTCTAGGTAGGGTCGCACTGGGGTAATTTTTATTTTTCGTCCAGAGTCCCCCACTGTAGGGGGGCATGCCCGACCTAACGCTGGCGCCACCTTTCAGTTCAGGCAGCCCCAGGGTGAATATAGGTCGCCCCAGAACGTTCTGGAACGCTCTCGGACCGTTCCGGAGCGCTCCGAAGCGGCCGCAGCGCACGATGCGTCCATTGGGTTCACCCGCTCTCAGGGGTTTTCGATTGTGCTGGGGCCACCTGCGTCATCACCCGAAGGCTGCCGAGGGTGGCGCCATTCCGAGGCAGCCGCCCGCGAAGGTCAACAACTGACGGACTGCCCGCGCGCGTGGGCTCCCTGGGCGCCCCAGGCGCCGCCGAGAGGGCCCCGAAGCGGCCCCTCGGCCTCGCGGCGGCTGGTGCTGGCCCCCGACCCAGACCCCCCCCGGGTCATGACGAAAACCACGACGGCTTTTTTTTTTTCTCGCTGTGTTCGGCTTCCTGGGGCCCGTGCCGAGCCCCGGGGCCGTCCCACAAACGAGTCTCGGATGAAGAAGACCAGCCCCGGGGAAGAGGTCCAGAGCTCTGGGGGGTCGATCGGCCAGACGCACGAGTGACCTTTCGCCGGAGCGGCCTTTGGTGCGGGCCCACTGGGGTCCCCGATCGCCGAACGCGAGACGGCAGTGGCGTCTTGCGCGCTCGTGTATATGCCCCCCCCACGGCCCCCGAAAGGCCGCGCACCAAAGGTCACTCTCACCCGGGGCCGCTCTTGCGTTTAGTAGCCGAGCCGACGGCATGGACAAGAACCATGACGCCGGTGGGCTGGGGAGGCGCCCCCCTCCCCGCCCCTGGTGGGCCTCGGCCAGGCCGCGGGGGCGCGAGGCGGCCGCCCCCCGCGGCCCCCGCGGCGCCGCGCGAGGCCCGGAAGCGGCCGGCGCGGCGCCCGCCGCGCGGGCGGCACGGCCCCGCCGCGCTGGGGGCGCCCGTCCCGAGGCAGCGCGCCCGCGGAGGGCCTCTGCGCACCGCCGCGCGGTGCCTGGGCAGCGCCGCCCTGCGCCGCGGCAGGGTGCACAGAGCCTCCTCCATGGCCTCGGCCAGCGGGGCTCGGCCGGGGAGGCCAGGCGCACCATGCCCAGGGCCCAGAGCGGCCCTGGCCAGGCACGGCGGTGGTGTGCAGGTGCCCTCTGGCCGTCCGACGGATCACGGCGTCCCCGCGCGCTCTGTTTTTTTGTTTTTTCTCGCACCATCGAGGTCAATGCCCTTTGTTTTTACTCATATCCGCGTGGCGCTGCCGCGCAAGTCCGCCGCCGCACTCGGGAAAGCTGCGTCGTAAGGCGGCAGCGTGTGGCACGGCCGTGGTCGTGCACGGCGCTCGGGTCGCCTCTCGTGGGCCTTGTCGGGGCCTCCCGCGGTCCTCTGGGGGTGCCTTCTGGCTTACTGGTGCGCTCGTGTCTGTCTTGGGCCTTCTGGGCCGCGAGGACGGGGCGGAGTGACCTGGGGGCGTCTTGGGGTCGATCCTGGGCCAGTCTCGTGCCATGTTGTGGCCGTCTTGGGCCGACACATGGTCGTCGCGGGGCTCTGGATGTCCACTGGACACCGTCTTTGAGCCTCCTGTGCATGGAGGCGCCCCCGGGCGGCTGGGCGAAAGACACCGGGCAGCTTGAGGTTTCCAAGCGCTCATGATATGCCCTGTCTGAGAGCTCAAGGGGCCCTTGGTGGCCAGGGGCTTGTCCAAGGTTGAGGGGCCGTCCTGGGTGGTCATGCTGCCTTTCGGGCAGGTCCTGCCGTCCGTCGTCCAGGAACGAGGGTCTGCAGGTGGTGACGGGCGGTTTTTGCATGTGCCCTTCCTGGCACCTGCCCTGTGCACCTCTTGGGCTGCCGTGGGTCTCGTCAGGAGCACGCCCTGGACTCCTGGGGGGATGCGTGGAGAGGTGCCGAATCGCCTGGGCCGCCGCCCAGACGACTTGTCTAATTCGTAGTCAGATTATTCTTGCCACTGCATACGTCGGCACATCAAAGCGTGTTCATACTTCTATGTAGGCGTATGCAGATTGAGACGTACGTGAGTAGCAAGCAAAACCATGTTAAGACCTTGGTGCTGACAGCGAGTGTGCCCCCCCATCGGTTTGCCTGGGGGCCGTCGCGACGGTTTCGCCGGGGGCAGCGCCGATATGCTGAAATAAATACCTCCTTAGGCCCAGGAGGGGCCCTGGTTTCAAGGCCGCTCCTCAGATCTAGGCTTTGGCACCTATTTGTAGTCGAGGTTCGCCGTGGTCACAAAAGGCCCCTTCGCTCCTGATCTGGTGTTCCTGATTGTTGCTTCTAGCACGTTGCCTAAATTGTCGCCTATGGTTGAATAAGAGATTGTCCACTCGGCGTTCGGCCGATCCTGCGCGAGATTCTCCGCCTGTCCTCCAGGGGACCGCTCTGGCACCCGAGCTGGCATGCAGACCGCCTCGCCGTGCCTTGCCTTGCCATGGTCGCCCGATGATTGCACTTGGCATCGCTCGGACGTGTGCATTTTTCCTTCGGCGAGGACCATCGAGGAGCATCCTTGATCATTTGGCGAAAAAGCCACGCACGAAACCGACAAAAACACAGGGAATGGACGTCCCAGCGATGGCCAGTGCACTGCCTGCTCGGAAAAGCCATGCCCTCACCCGCGCGTTGCCGCAGCGGGCGCGGCGGCGGACTACAAAGTCCACCAAGTGGACGCAGCCTCCTCCTGTAGGCCCCCGCGCATTAGAGCATGGCGGCGCGCACAGGCCCAGATCTCCGACGATCTAATTGTTTTTTTCACGAGGACGACGACTACGACGAGGACGACGAGGACGACGACGACGACGACGAGGACGAGGACGACGACGACGACGACGACGAGGACGACGACGACGACGACGACGACGACGACGACGACGACGACGACGACGACGACGACGACGACGACGACGACGACGACGACGACGACGACGACGACGACGACGACCGTGCTACTTTGACGACGACGGCGACGACTACGACGACGGTGATCAAGCTGGACACGACTTTTCGGTTCTGGGCCCCCAGGACCATGGATCCAGACCTCTGGGGCCGCGCATTGAGCACAGCAAGTCGCCGGATGTTGGGGAGGGGGTGGCGCGAGGGCATGTCGCCTCCCGAGTAGGCGGGGGGCTTCTCAGAAGGCGGGGGGCCTCAGAGGGAACGGCCCGGAGGCTTCCAAGAGGGCGCCGCAGAGGAAGGGAGGGCCCTCCTTGTAGGGCCCCTGCCTTCTGAGAGGCGAACCTATCGTTATCCCCATGGCCCAGCGTTCTCGATCCCAGGGTCCGATCCCCCGGATACGCGATCGCACGAATACGTCTCGCGCGGGGCATCGGCGGAAAGCCGGTCGCGGTCGAAGATCCCGGCCCGCGAGGCCGTGGATATGGACAACTGCAGTTGAGTTCGATTGGTAGGCCGACACTGCTCGACCAAGGGTACCCTTGTGTCCTGTGTCTAGCGACCCATGCCTTCTACATTCCAATGGTTGTGGAGGAGGATCACTGGAGTGGAGACATGTTGCCAAATAGTTGCGGGTGTCTGGAAATGTTGAGAACATGTCCCGAACATGTAAAACCATGCTTGAAACAGATTTCAAGCGTGTGGTACAAACATTTCAGGCACATATACTGTTCAATGATAGGACTGTTCGAGTGTCCCGTGCCATGGCACCCTATGGCAGTGTGGCCCTCGGAAGGGTCTCGTGTCTTCTCGCATGTCCTCTCCGATCGAACTCGACTGTACGCTCCCCGTCCACGCGGGAGGGCAGCAACCCCTCCGTGCCAGCCCCCGCGTGCGCGCCGCCGAAGATCGGCGGCGAGCCCAGGGGGGGCCATGAGAAGGGGCGGGCCTTCTCGGACGGCTCTCGGCAGTCACCCGGCCTCGTGAGAAGCTCCCTGAGCCTCACCCGAAGATTTTGTGGGCCCCAGAAACGGCAGGGCCGTTTTTTCACCGCTTCCAGAAAGTGTCCCTTAACAATGGAAGCGGCAAGAAAACGGCGACCGGAAACGGCAACAAAAACGGCTCCAGGGTTGGAACCGGAGCCGGAACCGGTCAAAAAACGGCGACGGAACCGGTAAAACACGGCGTCGGAACCAGCAACAAAAACGGCAAAACGGAACCGGTAACAAAAACGACCCTGTCGTTTCCAGGGCCCACTAAGCCCGAGGACACAGACGAAACTTTTCAGACGGCGCGAGCGTTTCTGAGGAGCCCCGCCGCCTTCTGAGAAGGCCTTTCGGGGGTTGTCAAAGCTGCTCACCGAGGGGCCCATTCCTCGATACATAGCCGCCTCCGGCGCCAGGAGGCGCCGGGAAAATCAGCTACGTGAGCTGACTCTCAAACCCCCCCTTTGCTATCCCCTCCTTTCGCCCGACCCGACAGGTGGAGGGCAACAGTCCACCCGGGCTCAGACGACAGGGCACGCCCTCCACGAATGCAGCAGGGAGGAAGCGGTGGCGAGGCGCGAGGCGCCCGATGCGGCAGGGGTGGCTAGGCAGGCGACAGGGAGGGCAGAGGGCGGGGGGGCGGGGGGCGGGGGGCGGTCGGCAGGTGGCGTTGGCCGCAGTGGTGCTCGAGGTAGCCGCCGAGGGAGCGAGGGTCGTGATAGTGGTCGTCATGGTGGTCGCAAGTGGTCATGGCGGTGGCCGTGGTCGTCGTACTGTTGGTGGTGGTCGCCACGGTGGTGCTCGTGGTGGTCACCGTGGTCGCGGTGGTCGTGGTGGTCGGCGTGGTGGTCGCAGTGGTCGTGGTGTTGGCAGTGTCAGTGGCGTGGCGGCGGTGGCCGTCGTCGCGCTGATGGTTGGGGGGACGCTTGACTGTTCACGCCGCACTAAGCACCAAGCAGCATCTCCGAGCTTCCGAAAGCCAAGCAACGCTGGATCTTCCTACAGGTTCTTCAATTCACACCCGCTGTCGGTCTCGGGCAAGTCCCGGCCGTCAGAGCGGACGAAGGCGACCAGCTCGTCGGCTGGTCAGCCTCCTGACTCCAAGACAGCCGGGGTCAGCTCCCCCCCAGAAGGCGGGTAGCGCGCCCGCTTCCTGTCGACTGCCTGGGCAGCCGCCACCCTGTCCTTGCGAGTCCAGGCGCGGGCGTGGGCGTGGGCGTAGGCGTGGGCGTGGGTGTGGGTGTGGGCGTGGGCGTGGGCGTGGGCGTGGGCGTGGGCGTGGGCGTGGGCGTGGGCGTTGGTGTGGGGGCGTCGTTGGCGTGGGCGTGGGCGTGGGCGCGGGCGTGGGTTTGGGCCTGGGCGTGGGCGTGGACGTGGGTGGGTGTGGGTGTGGGCGTCGGTGCTGCCAGC